CTCATTTTCAGCATTAATATTTGCTTTTGCTTTGAGAAGAATATCAACAATATCTTCATGACCTATGGTAGCGGCAAAATGTAAAGGAGACGATTTCTGGCAATTCTCAACATTGATGTCTGCTCCAGCGTTGAGAAGAATTTCAACACTCTCTCTCTGACCTCTGGCAGCAGCAAAATGTAAAGGAGACGTCTTTTGCTGATTCTCAGCATTAATATTTGCTCCAGCTTTCAGCAACATTTCAACAATGTCTTTATGACAATTGACTGTAGCGAAATGAAGAGGTGTCCATTTTTTCTCATTTTCCTCATTAACATTTGCTTCCGCTTTAAGAAGGAATTCAACTGCCTGTTTATCACCATTTGCAGCAGCAACGTGTAGAGGACTTTGATTCTTGTAATTGTCAGCATTCATATTTGCTCCAGCTTTGAGAAGAATTTCAACAATCTCTTTATAACCCTTAGCTGCAGCAAGCCTTAGTGGCGTCCGTTTTTCGTCCATCCTCAGCGTTAATATTTACCTTCGTTTTAAGAAGAATTTCAACAATATCTTTGTTACCTTTGGCAACAGCAGCATGTAAAGGAGTTATCTTTTTGCAGTTCATAGAATTTATATCTGCTCCGGTTTTAGAGAAAGATTTCAACAATGTCCTTATGACCGTTGGCAGCAGCAAGATGAAGAGGGGTCCACCTATCCTCGTCTTCAGCATTAATATTTGCTTTATGACAGAGGAGAATTACAACCTCTTTATGCCCGCTGGCAGCAGCCAGATGCAGAGGGGTGCGGTTTGTTTTATTCTCGGCATTATAATTTGCTTTAGCTTCAATGAGAATTGTGACTATCCCACTACGACCCTTGGACGCAGCAGCATGTAGCGGTGTCTGATTCTTGTAATTCTCAGCATTAATATCTGCCTCAGCTTTGATAAGGATTTTAACAATCTTTTTATGACCAAAAGCAACAGCAAAATGCAAAGGCGTCCACATTTCATGGTCTGCAGCATTGACTGCTGCTCCAGCTGTAAGAAGTAATTTTAACAATCTCAAGATGACCATTAGCAGCAGCAAGATGGAGAGCAGTTCGTTTTTTGTAATTCTCAGCATTAATATTTGCTCTAGCTTCCAGGAGAATTTCGACAACCTCTCTATGACCTTTGGACGCAGCAAGATGAAGAGGAGTCTGATTTTTAACATCCTTAGCATTTATATTTGTGTCAGTTTTGAGAAGAATGTCAACGATCTCTTTACGGCCATTAGCAGCAGCATAATGTAAAGAGGTTCGATTTGTGCAGTTACCAGCTTGAATGTTTGTTCCCAATTTGAGAAGGATTTCGACATTCTCATTCTCGCCATTGGCAACGTCAGGATGTAAATTAGATTGTCTGTGGTAAATCTCAGCATCAAATTTTGAACTAGTTTTGAGAACTATTTCCACTACGTCTGTATTGTTCTTCTCAATTCTACATTGTAATGGTGCTATCTCATGATGGATGACATGTTCGACGACTGTTGTATCACAATTCCCGACATGACTACAGCGAGCTGCAACAATCTTAGCCCAGTCTTCACTAGTGTTATATGCTGTCTCTCTGAAGAGATGTGTCATGCTTTTTCTATAGTTGCTACACACATCTACACAAAGCGGAGTACTTGATGTCACAAAACGATCTTTAGCTTCGACGACTGTTTCTGCTATTTTCAATGAGGTCATGTGCTAAGTACAGGGAGACAGCATCTGCGCAAAACAGACATTGCTATTGTTATTTTCAGCTTGTCATGACATTGTAATCCAATCTTTAATTCTATAAACAGAGAGATATTGTTCTAAACCCTGCATGTCTTTACTGATATTATAAATATCAAATAGTGATTATTTTTTTGGCGAGATACATTTCAGACCATTGACATAAACTATATCTCTACTTTTGCTACAGGATCTATCATTGGTTGTTGTAAAAACTGCCAAACAAGTACAGCTTTATGTGTGTTAAAGTATACATCACTGGTCGTTGTTAAGCACGACCACAAACTAAGATCTAAACTGTTACAGTCGATATCACTGTATAAACCATTGAGACAAACGTCAGTGTGACAGTAGCAATAAATGTTTGTTGGTAAACGCAATGTTAAAGTAGATATTACCGGTTGTGACAGTAGCAATAAATGGTTGAGGGTAAACGCAATGTTAAAGTAAATATTACCGGTTGTGACAGTAGCAATAAATGGTTGAGGGTAAACGCAATGTTAAAGTAAAATTACCGGTTGTTAGAAACTAATCCTCCACTATGATTTACAAAAACAGTTAGATAAGCTTAAGTGTTGCCACAGCTGTCAACGGTTGTTGGTAAACACCGCCCTCAACTGCAATGGTACAGTACCCTTCCTTGCTCGCTGCTGCACGTTGATGAAATTAGTGCTCCTTTGTTAAACATAAACAATTCAATGTTACTATAGTCAGCACATTCTAATCATATAAGTTTGTCCAGAAAAAGGCGTCTCTTATCAACGATAACTGTTGATGTTCTGACATGAAACCCCTACTGTATTTCTGGAAACAAATTCACATTGAGACTTTATATACTTTTGCTACCATTTGGAATTAACAAATAGAGTTCTAGTTTTCAGTCACATTTAAAAGTCCTGTTTATTGTCTTGTGCCTAATTTGATTGTATACACTAATTTGTGTACCCATATCAGTCATCAATGAAGGTCAGGTATGCCCTGGATTGTTGGTTGCTTCAGGTGAAAGAAGACAGTCATTATAAATACTTTTAGAGGAAAATGCATAAAATAAACAATAAACAAAATATAAAACAGAATAAACAAGTGAAGTAAAAGGCCCTCCCGACACTGACAGATTCAGTATTTGGTTTCATACCCATATTTTATAAACTAATCGACACCTAATGCGTAAAATGGCCCACATCACATCTGCAGTCTTTACTTAATTTGATATTTCCTGGGCTACAACCTGGTAACTGAGGCGATAAAAGAAGAAGAAGAAGAAGAAGAAGAAGAAGAAGAAGAAGAAGAAGAAGAAGAAGAAGAAGAAGAAGAAGAAGAAGAAGAAGAAACTTCCTGGTATCCATTTTATACTAGGTCCGACAGGAAACAAAAATAATAAAAATATACCAATGAGCAGATTTGAACTACGCCCTGCTGGCTGGCAGGCAGAAAAGCATCTATGCAGTGCGCTACCTTTGGGGGGAAAAGGACAAAATAATATTTATACATTTAAACGGACATTTTGTTCAGTATTCTGAAACATATTTAAAGGGGGAAAATACATTGTGTAGACTGGATAATTCAGGCGTGGGTTCCAGGTCCCCAATATGGGGTGGAAAAAAAGGGGGGGGGGGGGGGATAATACTGACTACCCACTAACACATTCGTCATAAAAGACGATTATTTAAGGGTTTGCTGAAGTTGTAACACAGCTGTAAACCACAACACAAGGTGCTAACGGTTCCTTTTAAAAGCGAACTCAAAGTTTTTTTTATTTTTATTTTTAAATTTTTTTTATCGTTCAACGGCTGTGAATTCCGGCGGAAGGTCCAGGTTAATCGTCCGCTTGGACTTTTGGCTTTCACCTGGGCCTGATTTTTGCGTGTACAACCGTTTTACTGTTCCCTGCCTCATGGGCAGCTGTACTCAAAGTTAGAGGACTAGACTACACTTCACTGTTGGTTTGCGAATGGTGCCTGTATCTTACATACGAACAGGAAAAATTGAGATAACCGAACTTCCTGCTTTCTTATGGTTGCTGATTGTGCTGTGACAGCACGTCATTAGATGGACTCTTCTGACTAATACCGATAAGTTTATCAACACATGACTGATAACAACAATTATATTTAATTATCATGCATCTGGTTTAGTTCAGGCGCCCTAGATTAAGCTGCTCTTCTCAGTGTTGACTATAAACATGGTCCTCAAGTTGCTAGTTTTATTTCCCTATAATTTCTTCACTCTAATAAAAAAGTGTCTTTTCTTTCCACTCTGAAGGCGGTGTCTAGAATGGAATCGTGATCCTTAGGACATAAGTCCTCATTGCTACTGTAGATACTAGAAACTGTCATTCCAGCATTAGTAAGTAACAAGTAAAGGAACCTTCTCCACGCCTTCAGCGGTGTCGGGCATATGGGGCTAGACGTATACTGTATAGCCCAATCGGCACTTGGTGTATGATGTAAGCATCACTCCGACCGCCTTCACTTCTCTCGACTTTACCTGGCACCCATTTAAGACTGGGTCAACCTTGGAAGCCATTGTCGTTTACTGAAAAAAGTTCCGTTGCGTCAGGTCCGGACCCAACAACCTTTCGATCAGCAGACTATCATCTAGCCGTTACACTACGGCACAGCTTTCAAGTGTATAAGAGGAGTATTACATTTCACAACGGCCTGTTCTCTGTGACAAACTCTTCACGACCAGGTCGGGCACACAGGCGTAGAGTATGTCTCAGAAGTATTGCCACTTTTTAACTTCCTGGGGCTGCAATCTCTAATCTGTCATAATGATTATAACGTCACTGTTTTCCTCTTCCCCATGATGTCACGTGCTGAACACACTTGACATCCTTAACAACAAAAGTGACAGGTGACAAGACAATGGCGTGGTTATTATAATGTCTATCATACATTTCAAATTTTCATTTGAAGCCCCCTTGTAATGTTCGATGACTGATTTTGTTGTTGTTGCTGTTTTATTTCAAACTGGTTTGGTTCTCTTGTCCTTCTTTCAGGGGTAGTTTGACTTTCATTATCAATCAGCAAGTCCTTTACTGAACGTCGCTCTCTTCACGGCACGCCTGAAAGTATCCCTTTCCCTAGCCAGCTCTCCGGCCCCATGTGCTTTCAATGCCAATACATTTTCAATGTCTTGATCCATCTTCGCAGTGGTCGACCCCTGCCTCGCCTTCCACAAACTGCACCTGCCATCACCGTCTTTTCCAAGCCACCATAACGCTTGATGTGGCCAAAATACTTTAACTTTCGGGA